TGCAGGATTTAAGACTCAGGATGAGTCGATACGAAGGATCATGCGTCGACACATGAAGTGTTTCAGACTCAGTATGAGTCGGCAAAAGGGGATTATGCGTCGACTCAAAGAGGCATGCGTCGACTCATGCAGTCCAATTTTTGACAGATTTGTTTCCAAAGGCTGTAACTTGAGTTTCCAGACTCCGTTTGAGGTGCCGTTTGAAGCGTTGGATAGCTAACATGGTGAAATTAACTCATAAGGATTAAAATGAAGGATAAGAAGAATAATTCTAGTACCCAAATTAGAATAGAGTTAGCTTCCCGCATTAATCGCTATGATGATTTTGCGAAGTATGATGAGGATAAGACGATCTTAGATTATTGCTTGGTTCATAACAGTAAGATTAATAATAATAAAGATGTAGTATTACAGTATAATAATATGCAGAGGTTTAGTAATTAGAGGTAAGCATTAGATGAGCGATTAATCGACATAGTCGAGAATTATCCGAATATTTATGGGTGATATCATGTTGTGGGCCTATGACCAATGTTGAATGGTTGTTGATCTGCTGTTGTCTTGTGATTATGATTGAGTTGTTGTGGTTTTACGTGGATGAATTATGCTGATGGATTACTTTGATGAATTTTGTTGATGAATTATGATGAGATGCCTCTAATTATTGGCAGCTATTGAGTTGTAGGCTTCTAGCCAACGATGATTCGTGTTGAGATGTTGTTAGTTGTGGTTGTTGTTACTACATTCATGATTGTGTCGCATACATTGCATATCAATATGGAGTTGATGCTCGTTAAGATGGCATGTATTGGCGAATATTAAGATGAAGGCTTATGCCTTGTTAATGCCTCTATTTATTGGCAATTATTTTAAGATGGGAGTTCTGCTCCAATGGTACCACATGTATTTGCATAGTATTTAGTCGCATTATATGATTGCATAAGGAAGTTGTGTATTGATGCAGTAATGTTGTATGTTGTTGATGTTCCCTTGCGAGTATTGTTGTTTATAAGATGTAAAATGGTGATATTATATGATCTGATTTAATATATTATTTATCATACATTTTATTATATTGTTAGATATCTCACCCCTTCTATTTGAATGTTACCCTTACGTTGGTAACGTGCAGGTAATCCATAGTGAAGGTGGTTTACCTTCAGTAGTTCAAGTCGGTGTCATTTCTCTGATATGTAACACTCGGGGGGATGAACACTTGTTGCTTTTAGTTATTTTTATTCCAGTTGTTGAACTTTAATTTGATTGTTGCTAAGTATGTGCTATTTTGAAGTTGATGTAATGTTGGACAAGGATGTTATTATGATTTCGCTCGTAGTTGTTCAAGTTGTTGAATTAAGAGATTAATTTAATATTGTTGTTGGTTCATCCGAAGTTTTAAAGTGTTATGTATCCATATTGAATGCAATGGTTTTTAAGTTAAATTTGTGGCATCTTGATTCAGTTGTATGAATTTTATAACTCTGATTTACATTTATAATTTCCAGGTAGAATTAGGGTGTTATAGAATTCATTGATTGTAACCACCTGGTGCTATAGTCTGAGCTATCGCTGGATTAGTCCATTGATTCCATGCAGATCTTTGATGTTGTGGAGTAGCATTCCACACAGTAGGCATTAAAGCAGAGTGCCTATGATAGCAGATACTTGCATCATGACCTGGTTTTGAACATATTTGGAAGTGAACTCTGTTTTTGCCACCATATCTGTCACCTCTGCCTCGATTGTGCCTACCGCCACGAAATCCCCCACGACCTTCATCATATGAGGGATTCTCATAGTAGTTTGAGGCATCAGGTGTGACTTGAGAAGCAACAGCTGGTATAGCTTGAGCAACATTCACAGAGAGAGGCTCAGACAGAGTAGCCTTCTTTGCTTTCTCTGTTTTTGCTTCATGAGCAAGAAGCATTGACTCAGCTTCAATAATAGGGCACAATATAGCACGCTACTCAATAATGGTGGCTAGGGCATTATATTCCTCTAGCGAACCATCAAAGATTGCTTCAAGTTGGTCATGATGTGAAATTGGATCATCAATTGACTCGAGGATATCAATAATTCATTGAATACAAGCTACATACGTAGTAATTGATTTTCCCCTTTGGTGATGGATTTCAATTCCAAGCATAATTGTCTTAATTTCGCATTTGTGTGTGCGAAGATGTATTGATGAATTACATCCTAGATTTGGTGAGAATGAACACACTTGATGATGCGAGGAAGAACAACATCATATAGCATGGTGAGAAGCCACGTGAACAGTAGTGAATCTTGCTGTGACCAAATCAGAAACACTGGATTCTCTTTGTCGGCGGCGCGATCTTCATCGGAGAGGTAACGCGGTGGAATGATCGGATTCACGAGGAGGCGATGAGTGCGAATGTTTCCAAGAACGAAAGTTGTTTTCGTCAAGCTTTAGTGTTACATGTTGCGTGAACGTTTTGAATACGTTCTTCAGATTGAAGATAGAGGATACGCCATCGCGTGTCACCGTACTTTAGACGGTGTTGTCAGAGCTATCGCTATCGAAAGCCTTGAGAATAGATCAAAAAGCTCTTGATACCATAATAGAAAATGATAAACTGAAGAAGAAAAGAAGAGATAGAAAGTTTGTTGTAACTGAATTTGTTATTTTACAATTGTTAGTTACATCTCTACTAGAGCAGAGTATTTATATAACTTATCTGTTTAGATGTCTTTCTAATATTATAAACTAGTGTTACTCTATTAATGATTATATAATCGTTTTTTTAAAGCAATTTTGAAAAAAATTATTTTATAAATATTTTTTCAAAAATATTTAAATAATTGGATTTTAAAAATAAATTGGAATAAAAAATTCTGAATTTCTTTTTTCGAAATTATAAAAAAATAATAAAAATTTGTTTAAAAATTATTTCTAAAAACATTTTAATTTTTTTTAAATTAAAATTTATTTATTTTCCTAGAAACAACTTTTTTGTCTGAAAAATAAAATTGTTTTTTAAATAAAAAAAAATAATCATTTTTTTCCGAAAAAGTTATTTAAATTTTTTTTCTCTAAATTTTAAAAAAATATTCAGCCAATAATTTTTTTTATTTTAAAAATTAAAAAAATTGTAATTGAATTGAAACATTTGAATTTTGAATTATAACCTGAATATAACTGAATCCAAAAAATTAATCAATTAATAACTTTTTAATTACATTCAGATGAATAACCACACCTTTTATAACTAAATCGATTAGTAACTATTCAATTATATCTAAATATTTAAAACGAATTTAAATTTAATTATGAATTTGAACCTCGAATATTTCACACACCCTAATACAAATTGAAAAACATAATATATTGAACTATATTGAACTATGTGTTATGGTCTTTATATTATAGGAGAGAATGATTCTTTCTTTTAAAAATAAATAAATAAGATCAAGATTATCATAATCGAGTTTTTATCTTGACTCATTTTATTTAGATAAAATCAAAATTTAAAATCAAAAATGTAAAATTATAGAGTTCACCTCATTAAAATTATATTAAATTTAAATACAATATATATATATATATATATATATATATATATATATATATATATATATATATATATATATATATATATATATATATATATATATATATATATATATATATATATATATATATATATATATATATATATATATATATATATATATATATATATATATATATATATATATATATATATATATATATATATATATATATATATATATATATATATATATATATATATATATATATATATAAAAAGTAAAAATATACTATATCACCATAATAAAGTGTAATATTCACAAACGCGTAACAAACTATATAAATTATCCATCAAATTTTAAAAAATAATATCCAAAAGATTATTAAAAAAATGATAATTTCATAAATATCTCAAGTTTAAAAAAAATAAAATTTTTCATCTTCATTGTCAACTTGGTCCAAAGTTAATCGATCTACGTTTTCTTCATTAGGGTATACATATTTGACTTGTTATATTCAACTCCAAATGATAAAGATTCCTCAATATTATAACTAAGATATGAATGTCAATAAATTTAAAAAGTGAGAGAACTTTTTACGGGCCAAAACAAAAAATGTTATTTATAAAATATAAAATCAGGTCAAAGAGTAAAACGATTTTACACAAATTCACCGATTTTAAAGCAATTTAAATCATTTAAAGTCATTCTAAAATACGACTTTACACAAAAAGGTTTCTACTTGCAATTTAACCGAAATGCTTACATAAAAACGTGAAATCTATTGAGTTTAAGTTTTAATTCACCAATTTAACATCAATAAGTTAATTGGAAATTTAAGAAGAAAATGGTCTGAATTGAAAGAAAATAGTGTGAGAATTAGTGATGCTGTGTTTTGAAAAATACCACACATCAGAAATTATTTGATTCGCTACAATCAAATTACGTGGCATACTAATCAAAAGTTTTCGATTAATATAATAACCTATTAGTGTTCACACCCAGCACAGAAATAATAAAATATTATTTTTCTAAATTAATTTGATTTTAAAAAATGAAAAACCGAAAATCTAAAAAGTTAATAATTGTGTGTAGATTACTAATTTCTAACATAACTGTTAGATTTTTGCAATAACACTAATTTTATTATATTCCATGAGACTGCTATTCTAAACTATATAAAATATAAAAAATAGCCCTTAAAGTCTCCTGTCAATATTATCATCGAAGCTTCAGCTCCTTTGTAATTCAATCAACAGAATCAGCTATCCTTGTTAACACATGCATAAGAGAACATGCACACTTAAATCCGGTCAATTGAAGTATCTTATTTTCGAAGTACATTTTCATCCCAATATTCTAAACAATAACCAAATGTCATGAAAACAATATTTTCCCAAATATTTGGTGGCTCACCTGAGAAACTATGTATGTATAGGTCTAACAGACAAGTTGTTGCACATAAACCAGAGGGAATGACCTTATCAAACATTAAGAGGACCTGCATTTACAGGTTTCTGATGGAATCTTGCAATTGGCATCCCGTCTGAATCATCCATCCCTGCTTTCCCTGCTCTCCATGAACGATCTTTTGCCCTCTGTGGCTTTTTGTGGTGCTTGTGTGATTCCTTGGACTTCTTAACCGCAACTTTGTTTGAAGCAAGCCCATTAGCAATGTCGAATGAACTGATGTCATCCAACACGTGCTCAAGTTTTGGTGTAAGTATAGTTTCAACATCTGAAGAATCTTCAATATCAGATGAATCTGACACATGTGAGTTATCTTGGTCATGTCCAGTGGAATCTTCGGAAGCTAATTCTTGATTTGACACGTTAGGCGGCATTGCATAGTGAGGCAGCTTCCCATCAATGTAATCTTTCAGTATCTGTCGAGAAGCTCTGGTTTCATCAGGAAGTCCGCTAGAAGTAGATTGCCCACGAGAAGCACAATATGTTCTCAAAAGTTCAGATGCTAGAGGGGGGCGGGATTGGGACTCATATGACTTAGGTTTAGGAAGACTGATGTTATAGATCTCTTCTATGATGTGTCTAGGGACTCTATTGGCGACAACTTGGACACACTCCCTGTGTTCGGTCATCCTGTCAATTGGCAACACACCACAAGTAATCATCTCATATCTTGAGCTTGAGAAAGATGGGAAAACTAACCCCGGACAGTCACAAAGGATCAACTTTTCAGAAATAATTAATGTCTGAAAGTGCTTTGTTTTTCCTGGGGTAGAGGTGACACCGGTTTTCTTTTGTCCAACTAGAGCATTGATAGTTGAACTTTTCCCTACATTAGGATATCCAACAAATCCCACAACTACATGACTTGACGATGAACTAGCAGTATTTTCACCTGAGGATTTAATAGTGGATAACCCTGTGTCAGAGGAGCCTGAATTTCTTCTCCTGTGTACTATCTCTTCTGCCTCTGATTGCAGGCGGGCTAAAAGCTCATCCCTTCCATATATCTTCGTGTCTGGGTTATTTGCACTTACCATGTTATCGGTCTGTGATGAACCAAGTTTTTTCCCTTCCAAAACTGCAGTAGCAGCTTTGGCTGACCAGAAGATAAAGAGAATATCATGAGCACGAAAGTATTCTGCCCATTTCTCTCTGCAGGAGAACAGAAGCAAACCAGAGGATAAATAACAAGGATACTAAAAAAATAGAAATTCAAAAGCAATGATTTGAAACAGAATAAACCGAAAAACAGATATTCAAACCTGACAGGAGCAGGTAAAAGATCTGCCTTATTAACCAAAAGCAATGTGCGTTTATGCACATCAACCTCCTTTACATAAGCCTGTTCACAAATTAAAGCAAAATGGTCATGCTTGGCACATACAACAATGACTCACATGAGAGAAAATAGTTAAATGTCCAAATTTGTCTACATAGATTAAAGACATGTGACATGGCCAAATCTCTCACTACTGCCTGTTATATAATACTATGAGTAACATAGTATGTCTCTTAAGCCAAAGTTCCTGTGAAAGAATATTCAGCACAAAGTCTTTAGTTGTATCTGTGCATAGATTTGCACCTAGTAATTTCTACAGTTGTCAAGTAAGAATTTCCCGAAGGAAGATAAACACTTCGTACCTCAAGGTCGGGACAGCGATAAAACAGTGGATCTCGTGAATCAACAACCATAACAAGCTGGAAAAAAAAAAGAGAGAATCAATATTTCTTGCACTTGGAGACTATACAGAGCATATATCAAATAGAAAATTACAAGACTATGGATATTTCTTTTTTGCTAACCGACTAGGGATATTTCTACCCAACCCAAGTATAAAACCTCACAACTGATGAAAACAAATATACCAGTTGTCCAAATACTTTCATATAGGCAATTTCTAACAGGAAAAAATTAAATATTAATTATGGGAGCGATAAAAAATAGGCTTTTATCCATGGTCAACCAGAGCATCTTTTTCTTTTTTGTTTCTGGAAGTTGAAAAGTGAAACTGCTCTTAAGAACGTCCTTTAGTCTCAAGCTCATGATGCAGGTCCCAAAAATGAATAGGTTTTTCCCCTCATTTTTTGTTTGAACGGTCAAAAATTAAAGACAAGGCAGCTAGAACCTAATCAATGAAATCACTTACTTCTGTATGGATTAAAATTGATAACAACCATCTTGAATAATGGGGAGCTACATTATTTTTTAAGCTATAAACATTACACTTTATTTTGCTAACACATACCATCAACAGAAGGGAAGGAACATAGGACTCACCAACAGAAAAGTAAGCCCATAAAAAAAATGACTAAGTATTCTACAACAAGAACCTACAAGCCACTGAAAATCACATTTACATAAGTGGGAGCCGTATCCATTATTATTACATATGATAACATAATCAGACTCCCATCATTAAAAGCTATATAAAATGTATGCCCCAACATTCCAAAGAGCATATGGTGGTAATTCACTTCGAAAGACAATAATTTTGAAGGGCACATCAACTTACCAAATCACTACGCTCAACAACCCGCCAGAGCTGTCTCCAGATATCAAGATTTTTCTCAAATGGAGTAAGGACAAGCTTCTTATTTTCCTCAAGTCTAGAAAACATCACCAAGACATCAATAAAAGAAGTTTTTAAAACATGTACGAAAGCAAGTAACTTCTTTAAGTACATCACATAACAGAAACCATTGCCTATAAGTGCCATTGGTTTTTACATCTGATTTCCAGCTTGTAATTGCAAACCAATTAAGAACAACAAAAAGAAGAGCAGATACCATGTAACTAACCTGGCTAGGCTGCGACGCCAAGTTAAGAAATGTTGTGTTTCATTGGCATGAAGCTCGTCAGCAGACATTTCAGCACTCCATGATGGCCTGAGAGAAACAAATGAATCATTCAAACCTAAACAATCCTTAATTGTATGGTTGGAATTGTGATATATGGTAAAAAAAAAAAACATCATCTTTTAGCAACTAATGAAAAGAAAAAACCTGCGCGGAACCCGAAGACTGCTAGCATGAAGTGCCTCTTCAATCTTCTGCTCCTTCTTCATTTCTTCAGGAGTCAAACCATTAAAACCAGTAACAGACACAGGATCCCTAATTTCACACGAAACACAAAAATTACATATTTCACAGAAACATAGACAGCCCTATTTTAGATAGAAAACGATGATTACAGATTGATGAGGGCAGTGGGAGGAGGAACAGGAAGATCAAGAAGCTGCTCCTCATCTTGATCCCCTTGTTCAAGGATGGCGTCGATATCAGAAACTTCGGTGAACGATTCGAGAAACTTCTTCTTGTAGACTCGACCTTTCTCCTTGGTTTGTTGAATCATTTGATTGTGTTGCTTCACAAGAGCCCTACCTAGCTCGTTCTTTGGATTCTTTCCCATTTTCGGTACCAAGAAGGAATGAGGCACCGTATTCTGTTTTGGTTTCAGATTAGGGTTTAAGAAACGCCTATTTCTTATTCTTCATCCTAAAGTTACTCAACACTCAACACACTTTTCCAAATCAGAATACTCCAAATCTATTTCACTTTTTAATATTATTAAAATTAGTAATTGCAATCCAATCCTCCCTTTTATTAAAATCTATTTCACATAATTATAAGTTATTAAAAAATTCTATTAATTATTTATATTATCTTATTCTAAAATAATATCATATTATTTTTCTCACTTTACTAAATTTTATATCTATTTTATTTCATCTTTCTCTTTTATATTATACATTAATAATAATAGAATCAACATTTTTTCTCGTATTTTATTAGTTTCTCTTATATTAAATATTTAAGTATTATTTTATATAATTTATATATGTATATTTATTTATAAAAAATAATATAATACTTAAAAATATATTATATTTAAAATAGTATAATTTTTAATTTTATTTATAATATAATATGGGGCTATTATTTTTTAAAAAAATTATTAAAAAATTCGTTTAGGACAAGGTAACTCAAAATCTATCTAGAGTTGGCTCAAATACTAATTTTTGAGTTTATATTACAATAAAAAATCTTTGGCTCAGCTCTAAAAAATCTAAAGCTCACTAAAATCGATAAATTTAGAGTTGAATAGTCCATTTTAACTACTCTAACTTTAGGCCTATTGACAACTATAGTAGAAAGAGATAGGACACTTTGATTCAATAGACTGTTGTATGTAAAAAAGAATGAGGGCATCTGTTGTACCTCAAAATTTGCTCTCTCATTTCTCAAGGCATTTTTCACAAGGATTCTAAAAAATTCAAGCTTACACAAATACAATTGCATTTTTCAACATCAAGTTAAAAAAGGAAATTGCTAAAAAGGGCAAAGCAGATGAAAATATTCTTTTTAAAAAATTGAAGGAAAAATAAGTTTTCTTCGATTTTACATCTTTCGATTGGACACTTTGCCTCCTTCGATGCAAGCTTTGGTTACACCCTTCGTTTGGGCACTGGACTCCTTTTGGGCAAGTTCATTTCCTGCTTCGTTTGGGCACTAGACTTCTTTTGGACAAGTTCAATTCCTATTTCGTTTGAACATTTTAGTCTCTTTGTGCAAGATTGGTATACATCTTTCGTTTGGCCATATAGCCTTTTTCCTGCATGTTTGCCAAATCCACAAGGTAGAATTTCCCACTATGCTAGCATACACAAGGCCAAAGTCACCCTTTGGAACAACTTGTTGCAAGCTTCGACAGGGCAACACTTATCTTCAACTAGCTTCAATTCACAAGGCAAAAAGCCTCCTGCTGATGTCATTCGATTCAGGAGGCAATGGCCTCTTTTCTGGTCTCATTCGATTACACATTTTGCCTCTTGCATGCCTCTTTCGTTTGGGGCATGTGGCCCTCCTTTGTTGCAAGCTTCGATTGTACTATTTACCCTCTGTATGCATTCTTCGTTTGGGGCGTGTGAATCATTCAATACAAGTTTTGGTTACACCTTTCGTTTGGGCATGTGGCTCCCTTCACGCAAGCTTTCGATTGAGCAAAGACCTCTTGCATGTTTGCTTGAAGTCACAAAGCAGGGACCTCCTACATAGACCTTTTCGTTTGGTCATATGACCCCTTGCAGGCAAGTTTGAGTGGGCAGTGTTTTTTCATGCAAGCTTTCTTTTGAGCAAAGGCTCCTTGCATGTTTTCTTAGAGTCATAAAGCAATAGCCTCCTAAATCTTTTCTTTGATTCAGAGGCCATTTACCCTTTGCATGATCCCTTCGACTCACAAGAACCAGAACTCTCTTCAGGCCAGAATGTACAAGGAAAAAAGCTCCCCCATGGCTGGCATTCACAAGGCAATGGCATCCATAAAGCGTTGGTTACTTTAACGCTAGTTTCGACTGTGCAGTATCTTCCTTGGAAATAGTTTGCTTCAACACACAATGACACATAACTATTGTCTCATTCGAAAGACGTACCATGGGGGCACATTCGAAGGACTTTCTAGACATACATGGATGTCCCAATCGAATGACATATTTTGTTGATCCATTCCAGGGGCGTGCATTTGGCCCATTCGAAGGAACATACAAAAGGCCTAGTCGAAAGACACCTATTTGGGCCCTTTCAAAGGATATTTATATGAGTCGTTCGAAGGATACTTTGATTTGAAAAGAAATGTTGTTGAGGAGTCTGGTCGAAGGATAGGGCTAGGGAGTCAAAACAAAAGGTTGAGATGTCCAAAGGTACTTGCTGACCAAAGTCTCATGCGCTGCCAAGTTCAGGTCTGATAACTGACCATAGCACTTCAAAACTACTGCACAGCAGTCCTGCAACAATGCCTTTGTTCTTGCACCAATTTGGCATATGAATACTGTCCCTCGAAAGCTACAAGAACAACATGCCCTTTTTGTTTAAACTTTTGTTTTCCTTCCTAAAACATCAGCCAAAATCTCCTATAAATATGAGCCTCCACCACACATCTTAGGGGCCCCTGAATAGTTGCAAAAAAAAAACTCTTGTTGTGAGAAATTTCTCGAAACTCTCAAACATCCATCCAACGTTTTTTTCAAATATTCCTAACACTCCTAAAAAATCTAGCCCCCTTTACACACTAAGTGAACCCTTCGATTCACTCCACAAGTGACCAGATAACTAACCTTCGACCCACTCCCCCAACCACAATATAAAAATCTTTTGATTCACTCCCTTACATGTTATATAGTAACCTTCGATTCACTCACATACCCTTCCTTTGATTCAATGATTACTCAAGCAAGGTAGTAACTGGACTAGTCCCAGGAAGGCCCCAAAGAACTTCCATTCACCATAAAGGAAGACACTTGCAGTTTCCTTCGATTTAAGCGCTTCAGGAGGTAAGTTCTCTTTAAACTTGAAACTATTTCATTTAAATATCATATGTACATACCAATAAGAGAGAAAATGTAGATATTTCATCTAGGAAGCTTGACCATGTTTTAACCTTCGATCATGACTGCTCATATGTTGAAAACCTCAACCCTGACTAGTTAGGCTTTGGACTTTGAGACCCAATAATTTTGTGCTAACCTCTGGCCTGTAGCTTTCGAAAGTTACACTTAAGTGTTGCATTTTAAAAGTTTAAAACAGGTTCTCTGTATCCTTCGATTGGCTAAGTACTCAAGCCTTTCGAATCTCAACCTGAGGGCCTAGCATTCCCGCAGTCGAAGGAGGCAACAAGGAGCCTGAGGCAAAGAGTTCACTTCACGTTGATCCCAGACCTCAAACAAAAGAAGTAGCCAGTAGGATGTCCACAGTGACTGTCGGGTCTCAAATGAAAGAAGCAGCCAGAAGGATGGTCACGCTGACTTTCAGGTCCCAATCGAAAGAAGCAGGAAAAGGGTGAAATCGAAAGTCACGACCTTACTGACTCCGGGCCCAAATCGAAGGAAGCCAAGAAGTGCAAAATCGAAGAGTGTTGCTGCCTGAATCGAAAAATCCCATTTCTCTTTCTTTATTTTATTTTGTCTTTATTTTTTCTTGCTATTCAATATGGTTGTAATAGTGTAGGATTTATTTTCTGTATTTTTATTATTTTTGTATAAATGTTAGTAACTAGGATGTATGGAAACATAAAAATCAACAAGTAGATCACTTTAATCAAAGATTAAATGCATGCAAATCAAACACATTATTCACACACATGCACCCCTAGGGTAATCTCACTTGTTGCCTCGAAAAAATACTCATGTCCCTCGAATATGGGTGTTTTAGCAAAGACCCTCAATAAAAGATCGTAGTCCCTTAATGACCCTTAATATTGCCTTCGGTAAACGATCTAGTCCCTAAATGAAAATTTCTAAAATGTCTCATAGGTTACCTTCTATGACTATACAAATGTCCCATGCCCGTCCCTTCACATACAATGGTGGGGTTTCTTACTAAATCAATGGTAAGATAGCAACATCTAAAGGAGGAGAAAAAGAACATAGACCTTTTGAGTAGGTAGGATGCCCATAGTTTCTCGCTTGCTCACAACAAAAACATTTTTACACCAACACTTTCAAATTGAAACATTTTTTAAAAGACAAAACTCTTTGTACACATTCTTATAGAAACGAGGATCATTACAAAGACACTTTTCAAAATCACTTTCAAAAACACTTTCCACAAACACCTCTTTGAACTATTTTTCAAAACCAACACTTTGTACGCGTTCTTATAGAAACGAGAACCATTACATAGACATTTTCAAAATACTTTCAAAACCCACACCACAAGCACATTTTCAAACAAAAGCAAGTGATCTAGCAAGAAACTAAGAGCTCATATATAACTACAGATGAAAAGGGTGCTAACACCTTCCCTTTTCATAACCTACCCCTCGAACTCGAGAAAATAATCTCAAAGGTCTTTCTTGTTCTTTTCACCCTTTCCTTATTGGATAAAAGAAAAGTGGATAGCGACTCTTGCTATCCGTAACAATTGCGATCAAACGCAAAACACCTAAGTCAGTTCTCTCACTGTACTACAGAACTGGCGACTCTGCTGGGGATTTTTACTTAAAAGTGGGGTTACATTAGGGCTAGATCACCTTTACTTGCTTTCTTTTCTTGAGTTGCTTGCTTTACATTTTGGGTCTTTGTTTGGGCTATGTTAAAAATCCTATACCCGGATCTGGGGAACCTTTTTAGGTAAGTAGTAATAACTCATGGAAGTTGTACAGCGTAGAACGATATGGACAGAGTGATAGCTGCGTTAGTGTAGCGGTAAAATCAATGAAGTCGCCACCGAGTATTTATTTATCCCATATGAAAGGGAAAGGAAAATCATCGAAGAAAAACCTAAAGGGGGAAATCAAGGTCTTGCGACCGAGAGATTGGGTAAGGGAGTCGGTTACGCGAGGGGAAGGTATTAGCACCCAACACGTCCATAGTACTCTACGGGATCCACTCTTGTTATTCTAATCAAAGGGTGTGT